AGACCCCAGCCATATGCTCATTAAGCCAGTCAAACTCGTTTCTCGCGGCAAAAGAGAACTCCTCGGCCTCAGCCTGAACGATGCTAAGGGCTGTAGTTCGTTCTTCGTTAATCCATGACGCGGAGCCAATAGGCACACGCGTTCCTCGCATCGTCGCCATTGTGAGGGGTAGATCGCGACGCGCAAGAGTGTCGCTGTGAAAGAGAAGAGAAATGCTAGCTGGTCATCGAGTTCGGAATGTGGTAGCTGGGTGTAGTAAGGTAGTTGCTGGAAAAGAAGGGGCAGAGGAAAGCAAAAAGTGGAAAGCACACAAAAGTTGTATGGATGTGTGGTGGTGTTGATGGACCTGGATTTGAATTGCATTGCGAACCGAATGTTTTGGTCGAGTCCGAATTCGGCTTAGCGCGGCTGAAGCTCGTGGGGCTGCCTGAGCCGGGGCAATCACAGATTGACAGTCGCGCTTGCGGCTTGCGGGAGACTCGCGGTGCCCTGTGTGACTGCCCGCCCCATATGTGTGCTGTCCCCGATAAGGGCCTTATCGGGCGGGAGTGCGGGAGGGTCCAAACCTTCCGTCCATGGGAAGGGGGGGTGAAGTGGAAACGCGACCGATCGAAAGTAAACAATAAGACCTTGACTCTGACAACACTCCTCAGCAACACCATCGTCAACAACTAACTACGGCAGCATGAGGGTCATAGAGGTCATTATAGACGTATGCGATCACATTCCGTCTCTTATCTTTTCGATGCTAACAGTATTCAGGGCTTCAAGTCGTATGCCGTGCGAACGGTGATTTCGGGATGGTAAACAAACCCCTTGCCTTGGCTGTGAGGGGACGAAAGCTCACACAACACAGGGACGAAAGTTTCAACTCGATCACTGGTCTCAACGGATCCGGAAAGTCCAACATCTTGGACGCCATCTGCTTCGTTTTGGGAATTACCAACATGACAACAGTCCGAGCGCAAAATCTCCAGGTGCGTAGCCATCCATTGCGGTGCATTCTGCTGGTGACAGGTGAAGCTGATGCTATTCGCAACAGGATCTTATCTACAAGCGCGGTCAAGCCGGTGTGACGAAAGCGAGTGTTACAATTGTTTTCGACAATAGAGACAAGAAGAAGTCGCCGATCGGCTTCGAGGAGTACTCAACCATCAGTGTAACTCGACAAATCGTCCTTGGCGGCACATCCAAATACCTCATCAATGGACACCGAGCCCAACAACAGACTGTACAAAACCTTTTCCAGTCTGTCCAGCTAAACATCAACAACCCAAATTTCCTCATTATGCAGGGCCGAATCACAAAGGTTCTCAACATGAAGCCGGTCGAAATTCTGGCCATGATTGAAGAAGCTGCGGGAACCAGAATGTTTGAGGACAGGAGGGACAAGGCGCTTAAGACCATGGCAAAGAAAGAGATGAAACTGCAAGAAATCACCGAGCTGCTACGAGACGAGATCGAGCCGAAGCTCGAGAAGCTCAGGACGGAGAAGCGAGCCTTCCTGGACTTCCAACAAACCCAGAACGATCTCGAGCGTCTTACACGGGTGGTCGTGGCGCACGACTACGTAAGGTGCCAAGAAAAGCTTGAGCAATCCGCAGCAGACCTGGAGGGCAAGAAACAAAGACAAAAAGACCTCGAGGAGTCTGCGGCACGACTGAAGAGCGAAATCTCACACCTTGAAGAGGATGTCAAACGAGTCCGAGCTCAGCGCGACAAGGAGTTGAAGAAAGGAGGAAAGGCGCAAGCCTTGGAGGATGCCGTCAAGAAGCACTCAAACGAGCTGGTCAGACTTGCCACGGTCATGGACTTGAAGAAGTCCAGCATGGCGGAAGAGAAAGAGAAGAAGACGGCTGTCGAGAAGAACGTCGCGGAGCTGGAGGCGACACTGCAAGAAAAGACTCAGGCCTTTGAGGAGATCAAAGCCCGATTCGACGCAGCCAAGGACGACCTGGAGAAGCAAAGCCAAGAAGCCGAATCCAAGGAGGAACTCTTGCAAACCTTGCAGACTGGTGTTGCATCCAAGGATGGTCAGGAAAGCGGTTACCAAGGCCAGCTGCAAGACGCAAGGAACCGCGCGACAGCATCGGTTACCGAACAGGAGCAAGCAAAGATGAAGATTGCTCATCTCGAAAAGCGTATCAAGGAGGAGGAGCCGCGAGCCAAGAAGGCGAAAGAGCAGAATGCCGACCTTCTCAGGGATCTCGAAGGCCTAAGGTCACAGGCGCAGAAGCTCGAGAAAGAGCTCGGACGACTAGGCTTTGAGCCCGGCCAGGAAGAGCAATTGTACCAGAAGCAGTCGTCCCTGCAGCAGCAGATCCGAGGTCTTCGACAGGAGGCCGACGGCCTGAAGCGCAAGGTCGCCAACATTGACTTCAACTATGCCGACCCGACACCCAACTTCGATAGATCAAAGGTCAAGGGCTTGGTTGCCCAGCTGTTTACACTCGACAAGCAAAACACACAAGCCGGTACTGCGCTCGAGATTTGCGCTGGTGGTCGCCTTTACAACGTCGTGGTTGACTCCGAAGTCACTGGCACTCAACTGCTTCAAGGAGGAAAGCTTCGCAAGCGTGTCACCATCATTCCTTTGAACAAGATTGCGGCCTTCAAAGCCTCGGCTCAGGCCATCGGGGCTGCCCAAAGAATTGCACCAGGCAAGGTTGACCTAGCCCTGTCACTCGTCGGCTACGACAATGAGGTCTCCGCCGCTATGGAGTATGTTTTCGGCAACACTCTCATCTGCGCAGATGCAGAGACGGCCAAGAGGGTCACCTTCGACCCCAACGTCAGAATGAGGTCCATCACCCTTGAGGGTGATTCTTATGACCCTTCAGGCACACTCTCGGGTGGTAGCTCCCCCAACTCCAGTGGTGTGCTCGTCACGCTGCAAAAGCTTAACGAGATCACACGCCAACTCAAGGAGACCGAGTCTTCGTTGCACCAGCTTCAGCTCACTATTGCGAGTGAGAAGTCAAAACTTGACCACGCTCGCAAGATCAAGCAGGAACTTGACCTGAAGAGCCACGAGATCAAGCTTGGTGAAGAGCAGATTAGCAGCAACTCTTCTTCTTCAATCATCCAAGAGGTGCAGAACATGAAGGAAACCATTGCCCAGCTCAAGAGCGACACTGCGGAGGCCAAAAAGAGGCATTTCGAAGCCACTGCTGACGTCAAGCGGATTGAGAAGGACATGAAGGACTTCGACAACAACAAGGATGCCAAGCTTGTTGAGCTCCAGAAATCATTGGACAAGCTGAGGGCCGACCTAACCAAGAACACTGCTTCCGTCAAGGTTCTACAGAAGGAAGTACAGGGCGCTCAGCTCGACTCAGAACAGGTCTCTGGCGATTTGTCCGCGGCCCGCGAACAGCAGCAAGAGGTTGAAGTAGCCATCAAGGCCCAGCAGCAGGACGTCGAGGATCTTGTCAAGCAGCAAAGCACCCTGCAAGAGACTCTTGACGGTGTCCAGGCCGAGCTTGACGATGAGCGGGCCAAGCTCCATGGATTCGATGACGAACTCCACGCCCTCGAAGATGCTACCCGATCCAAGAACGCCCGCATCGCCGAGGAGAGTCTCGAGATGCAGAAGCTTGGCCATCAGGTCGAAAGGTTCCACAAGGAGCAGCAATCGGCCGTGCAAACTGTTGCGCACATGGAGAAGGAGCACGACTGGATTGCCGACGAGAAGGAGAACTTTGGCCGTTCAGGAACGCCGTATGACTTCAAGGGTCAGAACATTGGCGAGTGCAAGTCGACGCTCCGTAACCTCACGGACCGCTTCCAGGGCATGAAGAAGAAGATCAACCCCAAGGTCATGAACATGATTGAGAGTGTCGAGAAGAAGGAGGTGTCACTCAAGCACATGATGAAGACTGTCATCCGCGACAAGCGCAAGATTGAGGAGACCATCATCAGCCTGGACGACTACAAAAAGAAGGCCCTGCAAGAGACATGGGAGAAGGTCAACGGCGACTTTGGTCAGATTTTCAACGAGCTCTTGCCCGGCAGTTTCGCCAAGTTGGACCCCCCTGAAGGCAAGACCATTAGCGATGGTCTCGAAGTCAAGGTATCCCTTGGCAAGGTGTGGAAGCAGAGCTTGACTGAGCTGTCTGGTGGTCAGAGGTAAGCATACACTCAATCTTTTCCACTAAGTTTCAATGAATTCAAACTAACGCTTGCAATTTAGATCTCTCATCGCCCTTTCACTCATCATGGCCCTGCTGCAGTTCAAACCTGCGCCCATGTACATTCTTGACGAGGTTGACGCCGCGCTGGATCTGTCCCACACGCAAAATATTGGTCGCCTGATCAAGACGCGTTTCAAGGGCTCGCAGTTCATCGTCGTCTCTCTCAAGGACGGCATGTTCCAGAACGCGAACCGCATCTTCCGGACTCGCTTCAGCGAAGGAACCAGTATGGTTCAAGCATTGACGCCTGCTGACATGAAGTAAACGTGTTTGTTCGCGTTTGCTCGTGAATGTTTCTAAAATGGTTTTCGGATCGCGACATGATGATGATGACGATGATGGGATTTTCTTCCTCTTTTCCGTTTGCCATTGGGGCCTCTCTCCCGGTCTGAAGTAGAGGCGCAAGAGTACTCGATGGGGTTTCTGGGTCGGGCTGAAATTTCTTTTCGTTGGATACCACAGCGGAGCACGCTTTCTGTCGTTTTTCTGCACTAGGTTCGGACGGGCTTGTCTCTCTCACGCAAAACAAGCCGGAAATATGGGAGTAATTGGCATGATATCTAATGGAGGTTGCGAGTGCGAATATTAGGAAATCAAATTTGTTTTTTCCTGTTCTTAACCTACAACGTTCTCTCCTGCGTGTGATTGAAGTCTATGTCTATTATGCCATTTCACACACCGTAATCAAGCAAGACGAAAATCCAACCACTCTTCTCTCCTCAGCAGCACCAAATCGCCTCATCAGCCACTACCCAGATACTCTTTCTTCTCCTTCAGGATTAAGATCAAGATAAGTGGCCTGGATTTTCACTGCTTGATGTACACGTGGTCGCCGCGCTCAAGCACGGATACGTCCATGCCGACCTCGAGCCAGGCCTGCATGTACTCGACGCGATCGGTGCCCTCGAAGAGCGGGCACATTTGCATGCCGAGGCACCCCATGCGCGGGGCGCCCTCGTCGACATCGCGGAGCTTGCGGAGGGACCGGTCCGGTTCGGCGCCGTGGCGGGCGCCGGTTACTGGGTCGACGTTAGGCATTTTGCAGCTTTGAGGGGGTGTTAGTCAAGGTGTTTTTTTGAGTGAGTGAGTGAGTGAGTGAGTGAGTGAGGAAAGGAGGAAGGGAGCTTACCGAACGGTACGGCACGAGACTTGGAATTTGGCCGGGACGGTGACCTTTGAGGTGCCCTGGGTGAAGTTGACCCATTTCCATGATTCCTCATCGTAGGCTGGCGCATCAGAGACTATGTTGTCACAGGATTTCGTCAGTAAAGCTCTTGAGCCTTAAAAGTTTGCCCGCTATCGAGCCTCTAGAGAGTCTCGAGGGAAGGAGATCATCTCATGCTATATTAAATCGAACTTACCAATGATGTTGGACCGGAACCTCCTGACATCGAGATGCTTGAGTTCGTCGTCCTTGGGCACCTTGGCGTCAAAGTCCTGGAGACTGCTGATGTTCATGATATGCAGGGGATACTTTTTTCAAATGATCCGTTAGCTTCAAGTCTCCTTCTCTCACTTCCCACACATCCATTTCTTATCCCTCTCAACGAAGAGAAACCCGAAAAAGGGGTAAGGGGACCCAAAACCGAGAACCAAAGGAGGAACAAAAACTCACAGCATCCTGGAATCCAACAATAGGTTGATACCCAGCCTCCTCCTTCCTCGGCGCACACCGATACACCTCCCTCAACTGCCCCGGATCAACCCGGAACAGCGCCAGCTTGTTGCTCACCCCCAAATACCGACACAGCTCCCCCGGCAACTCCTTCTCCATATTCAGAGCCGGCACGACCTCCTTCCACACCTTGACGTCCTCGCGCGTGTAACCGCGCTCCGCAATCTCCGCGTCCGTCGGAAACTCGACCGGCAACAACACCTCCATCTCCGGCTGGCCCCTCCACCCGTCCCGGATCTTGGACGCCACCCACGACATGGTGCCCCGGAACCCCGGTTCCCGCCAGGGGAACCGCATCACGATCCACGCGTCGGAGGACTTTTCCATGAAGACTGTGGACTTGGTCGCGTCGGGCACGTAGACGTCTACCTTGATGGTCGCGAGGAGCGGGAACTGGCGCTGCGTGACGAATTCCCAGGTGTGTTCGTCCTTCGCCTCGGCCGAGTCGTCCACGGCGGCCGGGAAGCGGGACTTGAGCTGCGCGAAAGTGTACAGCCTGTCGAATTCCAGGCCCGTCGGGAGGAGCTTGCTCCGGGTCACTTCGATTCCGCGGCATGATTTGATGGGGTAGACGCAGAGCGCCTTGACCCGGGCGACGGGCCCGGTGCCGGTGCCGGCATTGGAAGTGCTGCCGGCGTCGGCCTTGACGGAGTACTGGTCCCGGAGGTTGCTCTTTGGCGGCGAGACGCCAATCTTGGTGTGGGTTGAGCGTAGGGCGTCGCTGGTGGTGGCCGGGATGGGGGGGAAGATGTAGAGGACCGGGACGAGGAAGCAGAGGAACGTGGCGAAGGGGAGGAGGTAGAAGCCGATGCCAAGGTGGTGTGGCTCACCCAGAGCGGATGCCGAGATATTTGGGTCCATTATGATTATGCTTCTTTCTCTCCCTCTGTTATTGCCGTTGATCCTGTTGTTGCTTGTATTCTCAATGTTTTGTTTGTTGTGTGCTCTCTGTGTACAACAGTATCTGGTTCTCCCTGCGATCACTCACTCACTCACTCCCTTGCTTGTAAGACGGATACGGGTGGGTTGTGATGAGAATCGGACGTGTGGTTGGAAGCTCCACCACCAATTTCACACACGTAGTGTTTTATTTCGTCGACGATGTAATCGAGGGCTTCCAGTTCATGGTACGATATGAGCTTCATCATCTCACCCTTTTAGAACCACGCTTCCTATTGACAGCGCGGCTGAAACCTTCCATTCATCCCTTTTGGCAGGGTCCAAGACCCCTACGGCCCGGGCGCGTGCTTGATGCTGGCCTCACGTGCAGAATCAAGTGACCAGCTTCTTCCAAGAGACAGTTTCCCCTGCTTAGTCACTCAACCCTCCCCCAAGGGAAGCTGGTCTGTGCTTGAAACGAAACTTGGTCCAAGGAAACTCGGTCCCGAGTCCCCCGCGCCTGATTTCAGAACCGCCGCACGTATAGGCGGTGGGCAACGGTATCTGCAGTTCCGTCACTGGTGTCTGTATGTAGCTCCCTAGGAGCACCCACGGCCACCTCGAGACGTATAATCGTCAATTCGAAACAAAAGCAGGGGAATTGTTGCGATCTTCGTTGCGAAAAGCGGGATGATGCCATCAGCACGGGGGACTGCAGATGCCACGTACTGGCGACCCCTACACCCCTATCAGCCACAGCAGATGGATGACGCCAACATCCACATCACTCTCCCACGCCTCCTTGTCGATTCTTACGTCCGTATGCGTAATAACTTTAGAGGTGCTGTGACACATCTCTAGCGGCAATTAGTCTCGGCGCCTTTTGAATTTTTATTTTCCTTCAGTTGGCTTCTGTCTTGTGCGACGAATTAAATTCATGACTCCCGGACGCTTCAGCATTGGGATTTGATGTCGAACGGGGAAGGGCGCATGAGATCGTCCGCCAGCCTCCAGGTCTAGAAGAACCATTACCTATGTACCTCAACAAGTCGATCTGGAGGTGTAAACCCCGTCCCTTCCTTCAGGGCGAATTGTTAAGGACCCGACGAGGTTCTTCCGACAACCTCTGAGCATCATAGCATTCGCAAGGTACCGACAGCTTTAGCCGCCGCTTCTAACTCGGTCGTCGTGTTACCGACGTAGCAGGAGTGACTGTAACGCTAAGTTCGTATATCACCAAGGAAGAACGCCTCCGACCGCGAGTGGCTTTGCGCCCGTTGTAATCTGATGGCAACAGATGAGGTTGGGCTGTTGTTGAGTGTGAGTGAATGCCACTCGGTCTGATCGCAATGTCACAATGGGCTGGCGAACATAGTCCGTTCCTGGCGTAGCATCCATTGGGCGTCTCCTGCATAATCCCCGAGAGGAAATCCCAAACTGGTAGCATTGCAACAGGAGAGGAAGGTAAGGCGATGTCGTTGATGCCCATTGCGATTGGATGTTCAAATCCAGAGTAGTATCCCCTCGTCGGATCGGAAAATTCGAAGGCGGGCTGTCCCTGAGACTGCGCGAAAGAACTTTGAGGCTGCATGGATCCAGTTCTATGGGATCTACAAATACGGTCTGGTATGGTCTGATCACTGTTGGTCCAGCTCTTCAATCTGCCGACTTGTAGATGCGCGCAGGTCTGCTGTGATAAATGCGAGTACATGTGAACTATCCCTTGAAAAAACTCTGGAAGTCCTACTGTTACTCGCCATGTTAAGCTCCAGTACCAGAGGCGGAGGAGTAACAAGACGAAGCCAATGTCACCATGTGTATGGCTGTGTAATAGATCGATCACGAATGCCTTTCCAATAGGAAGAATGGTAATGGTTGCACCGATACTATGCGACCAGGGAAGCTTTGAGATATCGGCAGATCATTTGCATCGTTCCTGCGCCTCTGACCCGTCTGGGACGCGCGTTATAGGTAGGTAGTAGCCTTTGAGGAATTCGGCCCGGACGAAGAAGAGCCGCACGTCCATCTAAAGTGTGAGGTACCGTATGGAAGAGGCCATTGCGATGCTCAATGCCGAAAGTAATTCGTCCATCGCGTCGGAGATTGACAAAGAAAGGCGCATGTATCGATATACCCTACACCGGATGGTACTTTGCCGCGGATTTCGAAGAGAAGATCAGGATGCTACTCTGATACTGTGACTGTGGCTTTGAGGTCTGAACACATAGACCCTGACTGGGGATGGGAAAGAGAAGGCATCCCACAACCCGGCTTAGATCGCACGGCTGAACGAAGACGACATCCCGGAGCGGTCGGTCCACTCAGCGCCATCCGGGGTAAGAACTTGATATCAAAGCGCACGATGAGTATGGTCGCAGATGATGGACAACCTCACCAGGTTTTCACCAAGCAGCACGAGCTGGGGTGTACAAGCTACAGACCGCATATTCCTTCAGGTCAGCATCTCCATCTTGTAGAAAGGTACACAGCTGGTTGAGTAGGAGTAGATACGGAGCATCTTAAAGAGACCATCACCAAAGTCTCCTGAACATGGAACAAGAATTAGAAATTACTAGAGGCCTTTGCGCCCGTAGTAAGACATGGCTGACCCCATAGCAACTGGGTATGATGATGACCAATGAACCGTGATTGCAAAAGGCGAGGAATGACGGCGATGGTCATCACAGTGGGTTGGCTGTGGCTCCTAGGGAGTCGAGGCCAGGACCTTCTCTCCAAGACTGACGTATGCCTGGCCCCTGTGTTTTGATGCCTCTCTTAAGATGCGGTTTTCCCCCCTCCCTTTTCCCATCTCCCGGGTAATTACGCAGTGATGGTCCTCTGTTGATATGCCGTCCTTGATGTCTTTGATGACTTTTGTTCCCTGTTCATAGGTAGTCGTGTATGTTGATGTCAACATGGGGCTGTAGTAGAGCCATGTTGTTGGCTAGTCCGGTTGATTCAACCTGAAAACGCCTTCCTCATTGTGTCAGCCATCCGCTTGATCTTTTAGATAAGTTAGCTATCGGAGCATATGCCAACATGGGTTTGGTGAACATACCTACAGTCGATTTGACCAGCCACAACGGCAGGGCCTCTTTGCTGATCTCACTTGACGGCACTTGCGATTGCTTCGAAGCCAATGCTGGCCGCTTCTGCCCCACTGTGAAAGGATGGGAAAGCGGACGAAGTACAGAACGATGTGAAGCCTTGGGTTCATCTGAGGACGAGGCCCCCATGCCCCCCGTCTTTGCGATCCTTCTAGGCCCTGGCTAGGCAAATTTTGGTAAGACGCCAAGCATCGTTGGCCTTTTTGTTTTCGCGCTAGACTTTTGGACGAAAGACGTTCGTGGTATGGCGAGTGGCTGCATATATGTTAACCAAATGCGGGTTCGCGTTCTTTGTTCAGGCATGTACCTCTCTCTCGAGAGAGAGGTACAATCATGTTGCGTTCTTTTGTGAAGACTGATTGACTCTGCCAGTCTATGGATGGTTGTGCCCAGATTTGGCAGAATACCGGAAGAGCTATAGCGTGCTTCGAGGCTGGCAGCAATTGAGCATTTTCTACCGCTTGTCGCCCTTAACGCAAAGGTCATACCTAACATTTGGGATTCTTCTCCGGGTCCGCGGGAGTCGAAGTCAGGTTTCTCTTGATTTGTTGTAATACCGAGCAGCTTCCCGCCTTCGGGGGTTGCTAGGATATGAGCAAGGGAGCCATTATCACTTTCGTTCGGCGTCGTGCTCGTTTGATCACTGCGTGTAAAGCTAAAGGCTATATCAAGCCATCTTATTACTTGTGATTTGCAAACCGTATCCGCCATGTCGCGCTGCCAAACATGACTGTCTTCTGGTACTACCAGCCTTTCGCAGGCAGTTCATCCGATGGCGTCAACCTCGAAAGGGCAAGACGTTTTGGTGACACTATCGAGCAAAATAAGCCAACGGCCGTTACCGTTGACTATCTGCAGCGATCAAGATTCCGCGCGCCACAGATGGTTCAACGGCTGTTGTAACGTTTGCAAACTTTTCATCCTCGAGTTCTGCAACTCGCGAGTGCCGTTCGGCAACGATTTCGTTCCCAATTGAGAACCGTATGCCATGTTTGCTTGTCCAAGCAGTCCCTCCATTTCGGGGTGGGTTAGTTGTCAAATCCGTGCCGTAACTTTGCAAGGAGTCTCTATCGACCAGGCCACGCTAGATTAGGCCACTGTCAGGATTTGAATAGGGAGCCTGGGGCCGTAGCTGCAGGACTGTGGGAACTATTGAGCATGATGCTTGTGCTTCTGTGAGGGGTCCTATCTGGGCGTATTCCCCTTTTCTATGGGTAGATGCATCCCGTCCCTGTTATGGAGTGTTGATCCACAGACGAGAAGGCCACATTGTTGACGGCTAACATGTGATTTGCTGGAGTATCCGTATACGAACGGCGCTTCTCTTGGTCATCTCTCAATGACAATATTGACTGCTCTGTGCTGGGGGTATGTAGTGGGAAAAAACTCTTGGCCGTCGTTGAACCCGGTGGTCAGCATCGAGGTTCCGAGGCGGCCGACATATTGAGAAGCAAATCTGCAGTCGGTACCCGTATCAAAACCCATGATCCCAACAAGGACCCAGAACTATGACCGCCTCCTTGGTGGGGTATTGCAAAAAGCAATGAAGGAAGACTTGCGAGAGGCTTCAGGGCTCAGGCCTGTCGTAGGCCCCCTTGTCTCGGGGCGTGCCTTGCCACGGGAAATCTGCAACCCTGCACCGGCAGCGGATGACCTGGGTCACCAAGAACGGTGGGAGAAAGTGAGGTGCGTCTGTTGCTTGGGACTATACCAGACGACTAACACCCTCGACGGTGGAACAAAGTAGGACATAGAGCGCTGCAAATAAAATTGCGAGACGATGGCGGTTTTGTGGCGAATCCTGCAAATGAGACCATGCATTATCTTTTCCGGATAAAGCGTCTTCTCCGTCATATATGACGGGTTTGAAGACTC